CCATATTGGAAAAATGCTCTATGTCAGCTATGCTGCCAGTCTGGATACGTTGGCCTAAACTTTGTAATTCACTTTGAATTCTCACTTTAGTGAATAACCTTCTTTGAGTCTGCCAGGTAAGACAACATCAGAACCGTCTTCTGAGGCTTCAAGCTCAACATCTACGGTCAAGTCAGACCAGGTCAGTGTTACCGGGAGGATGTATTGTGGTGAAAGTATGAGTCTGGTGAATGCCAAGGGAGTTTTTGGAGACAGTTCCTGGGTGAGCTCATTTGCTACTGAAATCAGGCGTTGTGCAGATTCTTTGAAGTAATTGTAGATAAACTATAATAATAATAAATAAAAACCCTAACAATCACTGGATCATGTTAAAACCATGCACCAGTTTTCCTCCAGTTAGTAACAGCCCTGGATTTTGTAGGTCTATCAGAATCAAGCTAATTCTCTTGCATAATTCTGTTTTATGTAACATAGTCCCAAGGATATGACAACCTTGTTTTTTGGTTGTTGTTTTTTGAAGGAAGAAATAATTCTGCATTGTGGTATTTGGAGCAATAGCAAAGGATATTGTGAAAAATTAAAAGCATGTGTACTTGCACGTGGAGTGATTCACTGTCGTCCTGCAATTTTGCAAGAATACAGAATGGACACGTGACTCGTTGAATCCACATTAAAGAGAAAGTCATCTGCATTATGAGACACTGGAATTGATAACCAGTGAACAGTTATTGGATTTATTTTGCTGTCAGTATTCTGCAATATCCATACCCCGAAGTGCCCCTATTTTGGGCCCAAATCCCTCTGTACCTCTTTTCTAAGAGCTCAATATTGTTGGTGTGTCCGAATATATAACAGAGCTCTACATCAATAATTCTTCCTAAAATAAAAGTGTTTAGAAATCAGTCTGTGCACATAAGATTTATTGTTCAACATTTTAGTTGAATTAAAGGAACACAATAGTCACCTAAATTACTTTAGCTAAATAAAGCAGTTTTAGTGTATAGATCATTCCCATGCAATATCACTGCTCAATTCACTGTCATTTAGGAGTTAACCCCTTAAAACCGGAGGGCGTACTATTACGCCCTATTCTAAGCGGCTCTAAACGCCGCAGGGCGTAATAGTACACCCTCTGGTTTTTCTTACTTACCCGGTCACTATATATATACCTATATATAAATAAAAATATTGGAAAAAAAAAAAATATATATATATATATATATATATACGTATACATATATTAATTCTGCATATATATTTATGTAATATTTTTACATAATTAGGTATTTTAATTAATTACAATTAGCGGGACCTGCCTGACAACCCATGCCGAAAGTATAGGGAATTTAATTTGCTAGCACTATATTTAACCCTATAACTTTCCAAGACACCATAAAACCTGTACACGCGGGGTACTGATTTACTCGGGAGACTTCGCTGAACACAAATATTAGTGTTTCAAAACAGTAAAATGTATTACAACGATGATATCGCCAGTAAAAGTTATGTTTCTTTGCATTTTTCACACACAAACAGCACTTACACGGACGATATTATTGCTGTGATACTTTTTACTGTTTTGAAACACTAATATTTGTGTTCAGCGAAGTCTCCCGAGTACAACAGTACCCCTCATGTACAGGTTTTATGGTGTTTTCAAAAGTTACAACGTCAAATATAAGGCTTGTGTTTCATTTTTTCACAAAAATGGCTACTAAAAAAGACTGGACATACCCCATTTGCAATACCTTGGGTTGTCTACTTTTGCATTTTGCCATTATGGGTGTAAATTTAATTCCTGGCTACTATAAAGTCCCAAAGGCAACATAACCAATCTGGCGAATTTCAATTTCAAATTTAACGTGCTATATTTGACCCTGTAACTTCCCAAAACGTCATAAAACCTGTACATAGGGGGTACTGTTTTACACATGAGACTTTGCTGAATACAAATATGTGTATTTTATTGCAGTAAAAGCAAACAGTATTATGACATTGACCGTTAAAATGTCATGTAGAACTAATAAAATAAAAATTTTATTCAGTTAAAAAAAATTAAATATAAATATTATATATGTATATAAATATAATATGATGAAAATAATATAAATATGATAATACAATAATGTCAGGTGTATTTATATTAATATATGATTATTATACGGTAGACAATATCCAGCGCACGTAGACTGTTTGTTTTTGTTTTGTTTGTAATTGTTGTTTATTTATCTTTAGTATTTTTTTTTTTTTGTATACGCATAATATATAACAATTTGTATGTATATTTATCGTATCAGAATTGTGTAATTTGTAATATATATGATAATTATCCCAGTCCCATGGCGATCCTAGGGGACTCACGAGCCCCTCAAAGGCCCAGCCTTTCACAGCCGATGAGAGTGGGGTCAGTGATCTTTAGACCCCATACACACATATCCGATAGTTTTTTTTTCAGCCAGCAGGGGGGCTGCCTGTAATGACAGGTGGTCCCCCTGCTGGCTGAAAATAAAATTAAAAAAAGTTAATCAGTGTAAAAAATAAATAATATATACTTAGATCATATGTATATGTTATATACATATGATCTAAGTATATATATACACATATACATAGACACACATACACCGTCTAGGTGTATTTTACTATTAATATATATATAATTATATATATATATTAATATCAAATTACACGTAGACTGATACTGATTAAATATATATATATATAATTATTGTTATATATATATTTATATTTAATATAAAAAAAATAAAAATGTAAATACGTTAAAAAATAAAATTAAAAAATAATTAAAAATAAATAATTAAAAAATATATAGATGTGTGTTATTTCGTTCTAACTGTTTTGTGAAATTAATATATATATATATATATCAAAATACACGTAGAACTAAATAATATATATATCTATATACATAAATATATACGTATATATCACTATATATATACCTATATATAAATAAAAATATTTTAAAAAAATTATATAGATATATACATATATATACACATACTTATATATATACATATATTAATTCTACATATATATTTATGTAATATTTTTACATAATTAGGTATCTTAATTAATTACAATTAGCGGGACCTGCCTGACAACCCATGCCGAAAGTAAAGGGAATTTAATTTGTTAGCACTATATTTAACCCTATAACTTTCCAAGACACCATAAAACCTGTACATGTGGGGTACTGTTCTACTCGGGAGACTTCGCTGAACACAAATATTAGTGTTTCAAAACAGTAAAATGTATTACAACGATGATATTGCCAGTAAAAGTGACGTTTTTTGCATTTTTCACGCACAAACAGCATTACACGGACAATATTATTGCTGTGATACTTTTTACTGTTTTGAAACACACATATTTGTGTTCAGCGAAGTCTCCCGAGTACAACAGTACCCCTCATGTACAGGTTTTATGGTGTTTTCAAAAGTTACAGCGTCAAATATAAGGCTTGCGTTTCAGTTTTTTCACATTAAAATTCGCCAGATTGGTTACGTTGCCTTTGAGACCCTATGGTAGCCCAAGAATGAAAATTACTCCTATGATGGCATACCATTTGCAATAGTAGACAACCCAAGGTATTGCAAACAGGGTATGTCCAGTCTTTTTTAGTAGCCACTTAGTCACAAACACTGGCCAAAATTGGCATTTTTGCATTTTTCACACAAACAGATACTAACGCTAACTTTGGCCAGTGTTTGTGACCAAATGGCTACTAAAAAAGACTGGACATACCCCATTTGCAATACCTTGGGTTGTCTACTATTGCAAATGGTGTGCCATTATGGGTGTAAATTTCATTCCCGGGCTACTATACAGTCTCAAAGGCAACGTAACCAATCTGGCAAATTTCAATTTCAAATGTAACGTGCTATATTTGACCCTGTAACTTCCCAAGACGCCATAAAACCTGTACATAGGGGGTACTGTCTTACACGTGAGACTTTACTGAATATAAATATGTGTATTTTATTGCAGTAAAAGCAAACAGTATTATGACATTGACCGTTAAAATGTCACGTAGAACTAAAAAAATCCCCAAAAAACGTATTTTCTCCCATTTTTTTCATATTAAATTATGTTTCATAGCTAAATATTTTATATTAAATGAAAGCCCTGTTTCCCCTGAATAAAATGATATATAATAAGGGTGGGTGCATTTACTATGAAAGAGGTGTATTACGGTTGGACAGACATGTAGCGCAAATGCCAGGTTTTGTTTACATTTTGTTTTGTTCACAATGTGTACATTTGGCTCCGTCCTTAAGGGGTTAAGGGGTTAAATCACTTTGTTTCTGTTTATGCAGCCCTAGCCACACCTCCCTGGCTATGATTGACACAGCCTGCATGAAAAAAAACTGGTTTCACTTTCAAACAGATGTAATTTACCTTAAATAATTGTATCTCAATCTCTAAATTGAACTTTAATCACATACAGGAGGCTCTTGCAGGGTCTAGCAAGCTAATAACATAGCAGGGGAGAAGAAAATCTTAATTAAACAGAACTTACAATAAAGAAAGCCTAAATAGGGCTCTCTTTACAGGAAGTGTTTATGGAAAGCTGTGCAAGTCACATGCAGGAAGGTGTGACTAGGATTGATAAACAAAGGGATTTAACTCCTAAATGGCAGAGGATTGAGCAGTGAGGCTGCAGGGGCATGTTCTATACACCAAAACTGCTTCATTAAGCTGAAGTTGTTCAGGTGATTATAGTGTCCCTTTAATTATTAGTAAGTCATCTAAAATGTCTCAGAAATGCCCCACCACTGTCCACACCCCTAAAATTAAAGTGTCCGTCTTTGTCCATTTGAAATGTTGGGAGGTATGACTATCCATTTGGTTGACTTACACTGTAAACAACACATAACTGTGAAGTTAATATGGTGGAATGATCTCCTGGACAGTGCGTCATCCATTCGCATCATATCACTAAATATCTGCTATGGATAGCAGACTGCAAGCGATAGGGCACAGTGGGATTTGGCCATGTTGAATTGCTGCTGCCATTTACCAAAAGGGTTAGTGAAGATTTAATGGTACAGAAGGAGCTACATTGATTCAGCATAGCGGAATCCTGCTGTTGTTCCTGTGTTCAATCACATTTCCCTGCCTTGTGAAAATTCCCTACCCTAGTCACTTCCTCCTGCACTCCACACAGGTAAGCCGTCCTACACTTGATTCGGCTCACTTCCGGTGGCAGTCTTAAAGGGACACTCCAAATGTCTAAATCAGTTTGGCTTGCCTAAGTGCTTTATGTGTGAAGAGTGACCTCTTTTTTTTTTTTTTTCATTTTACAAAAAGTGCAGATTTCAATAAAAATTTACACTTTTATAAATTAACCGTGTTACACCCCCTGGCTGTCAATCAGACAACTGGGCCGATTACTTCCTGGTTGCTTAGCTCAATGGAGCTGAACTCAAGAGGCAGCAATTGCCCAGAGCACCTGCCTTGCAAATACTACTCATTGAGCTGCATTGGGAGGGGGGGTGGGATGATTGACTGTATACAGACAAGAAATCTGCATTTTTTGTAAACTATTTTCAGATATACCTCCAATTAAAAAATGCATAATTAAATGCATGCATATTTTTATTGCAGATAAAACTACTAAATAGTGCTTTGCTTTTTCTTTAATTTGGACAGTGCAGTTTTCTTTTAAGGGGCAGCCTATGTACCATTACCACTAAAACCTCTTATAGTAACTATGGAGCTATCAGGCATTTGTCGTATGCACCTGATTATGTTTCAAATTATTTTAAAGCAATTTGGACACAAGCCAAGGATCCTCCAGGAGCTCAAATAATTGGTCCCACACTTCTCGTATTGAAGACTTTACACTTTCACATTAGCAATATTAATTTAAGTATCAGTTTCTCCCAGATTTACATGGCATTAATTTGTTGAGAGTGCCAGTTTATACACTCAGTCAAATCAATGCCATCCTAATAAACATAAATACAGGAAACTAAACTTGGGGAACCTACATTTTTTATGTTGAAAAAAGGGCAGAAAAAAAATATTTCATAATTTTACCATCTTTCTTTCCACCATTACCCAGCATCATTTGACACAATTTGCTGGGACATACGTCATTAGATCAGAGGTGCCCAAAAGGTAGATCCCCAGATGTTTTAAAAGTACAGCCTCCGTAATGCTTTGTCATTCAAAAGGCATTCTACAAAATATAGGGATATAATTTTTGAGCACCCATGCTGTAGATCTTTGTGAAACGCTTTGTCCACAGAGTATGAGTCAGGGTCCTGGGAAGCAGATAGAATTCTACTGATGTATACTATCCAGTTTTCAGAGACAATACTTTGAGAAAAATCTCCCAATGCACATATGGTTTTCCCCAAAGACCAGGCAAATTCTGTGGTCTGTTGACTCCAAGAGGAAGTTTATAAACCTTCTGCGTACTCCCAAATACTGGGGAGAAATTATCCATTTTTACTATCCAAACTCATCTATCCCTCCATTCAAAGAATTACTCCTATAATAAAGGTGTTCCTCTCTGTCTATAAAGTTCATAAATACACAGTGTACTTCAGTTGACATGTTTGGAGGATTTTTTTTTTCTTTAGTATTTTTCATGTATGTCAGACATCATATTTAAAGTTTGAACACAATTTTATTACATTAACTTTTAAAATATTTTTTTAATATTGTGAAATCTTCGCCTCAATTCATTAGTGAAATAATTGGTGTACTTGCTGATACTGTATATGGACGTAAACTAGAAATGTACATGGCTATTGTTTCTGTTAGGAATGATTTGTTAATATCCGGATATGATTTATCTTGCGCTCCATGGTAATTTAATAACGGCCAAGAAATAGAGCTCACTATTTTAATACAAACAGCATTTGTTGTGTTTTGTTACACATACAGTTTTATAGGGTATATTTTATGCATATTCTGCAGTTAGCACTTAACATGGGTAGTTGGAACCTTTGGTCATTGAAAACACACTTTTTGGGGTACGTTGATGTTCTGGAGTATGGAGCTACCAATAGTCCCAGAGTGTACATGGCTGTGTCAGCTGTTCAATATACAAATCCGCAACTGATATGTAACATGTTATGGAAGTTCTACCTCAGCAGGAGCATTAGCTGATGATCAGGAGACAGAAACCTATGGCAAGGGATGCAAGAAGACGGGCATAGCTGGCATTGGGCTGGCTGCTGGATCCCTGACTGCCACTATTACAGTTGTTAGAGAAGCAGCAATTAACATTGACTCCGGGGGTTTTTGACGCATCCTGCAAAGCTCGGTCACAGAACGACTTAAAAGAGCAGGACTTCATCACTCCGGCTGCATGGAAAAAGAACATCAGAAAATAAATAAATTAAATTTAACAAAGTGATGGTTTACATGTTTTTGTTTTGAAAGAACGTACATATTATACGCAATGACAATAAATGTATCGGTATTCAGATAGTGTGTGGGGTAGAGTGTGGGTATTGGACAATAAGAGTTGGTAGATAGAAAAAGTTTAATATTAGGTAGATGCTCAGGGGGTAGTAAAAAAAAAAAAAATCAATGCATTTTAGGTATTTCTTAAGAAAGCCTTATTAGGCCAATATATCTAGATATTTACAGGGCCTGTGTTCCATGTCACTTGGCATACACATCACTAGTGATGGTTTGGTTTTAATTATGGTATGAGCTGATCTCAGATCAGTGTGTACACTCGAACACTCCACACAGAAAAATAAACAAAAACTATTTAAATGATATATATACACACACACACACAGTATACCTCTACCAGTGCCACCACCTATAATTCAAATAAAGCAAGCGGATCCGGGTTTGATTTCCACCCCAGCTAAGACATACTCACTAGACTGTCCACGGACAACTGCACATGCATCAGAGTCTCGCGGGCATTGTATGGAACCATGGCGATTGCAGTCATGGTCATTAGCACCCACACATGAGAAACACTGTAATCCTCCACCTGGCAAAGGGAAATAAACGAGTACAAAATATGAGCTACAAGTGCAAATTGTAATATTTATTCAATATTAAGTCAAAACTGTTTGACTTCTTACAAGTGGCACAATGAGTGATGAGCTGACGTTCTCAGCCAATGAGCTGATACTTCAATGCATAGGTCAAGAGAGTTCTCCGAACCAGAAGGTAAGGGGCAGGAAGTGGCACCCAGCATAAGGTTGGGTCAACCTGTTAGCTGTGACTGAGGGTTTGAAAATAGTGATGGACTTCAAAGATGGTCACTACCAAAGTAACCTGTGCGGGTAACCTTAGCATTTTCTTTACTTTATTAGGTGGAATCGGTACTATTTAGAATGAGAAATCTAGGTATAGAGTTGGGGGACAACGACACACTGTAATACCTATATTTTAATATAATGAATCACATTTTCTATTGAAATCTGGAACATTGCACAGGGTTTGGCTAAACCCATTATCACTTTCATTTTCTTAGCACTATACAAGGGGTAAATTCATTTTCTTAGCACTATACAAGGGGTAAATTGATAGGTTCTCATACAATCCAATATGTAATTATATCAACTACCGTGTTTCCTGAAAATAAGCCCTAGCTTAGTTTCAGGAAATGCCCCTAATATAAGCCCTACCCTGAAAATAAGCCCTAGTTGTTCGCTAATCTATTTTCCCCGAACATAGATTCGTGGAATTCCATTCACGAGTAAACTTATCTAAGTTTGGGGAAAATTCCACAAACATAGATACGCAAGATTCCATTCGTGAGTGAACTAATCTATGTTCGTGGAAGTTTCCCCAAACATAGATTTGCAGTATTCTGTTAGCAAGTAAGCTAATCTATGCTTGGGAAAGTTTCCCTGAACATAAATTTGCAGGATTCCAAGCCCTAGTGAATTGGTCTATGTTTGGGGGAATTCCCCCAGACATAGACCTGCTTTCTAGCACAAGTTTTCTCCGAAATAAGACATCCCGGTCTTATTTTCCAGGGAAACACGGTACTGCAAAAGAAAAGGATAGGTCTTGTTTTGAACCTAAAATCTAACACGTATAGCACGTATATAGAGTGCGGAGCAAGATGGCCTGGGAACGTTTCAATCTGTGGGGGATAATACTTTAATTAATTGAAATCTGTAAAATGTAAAAGGCAGGAAACAAATAAACTGCGAATGACTCTCCTTGGAGGAAAACCCACAAGATGTTCAAGGCGGACACCCATTCTCCTCTTTGGTTTTAAGCCAAATGAACTGGCCTGGTTTTATTTGAAAAACTATCACTAGCAATACACCAATAATTAGAAACTCTGCAATAATCAGGGGTAGTTTCCCATGAAAGGAGGTCTACTTTTCTGCAATAGAAGCAGCAATAAGTGTAAAGGGACACTAGAAGTAACATTCTAACCACTTTTTTCTCCTTGTTTCCTTAATTCAGGGCCTTGATTAAAATGGTGTTAAATAGATTGAATAAACTCCAACCATTAGTGGCTGTTTCAACATTCCATTTACTATGATTAGGCAAAACAGCATATTGCATATAAAATGTGCGCCCCCTAGTGTCAAACTTTAATAAGTTGTCCAAGTAACAATTTCACATCCAATAATTACATTTACATACTAAAACTGATATGGGGCTTATTCATGACTAGACACAGAACTGTACTGAATTGGAATCCAAATACAAAAAAACAGCAAAGTAGGGCCCATTTGGAAAAAATAGCTAACTTATAGTCACTGTTTTTTTAATCAAATTTCAATTTATTACAGTTCAGTGTTTGGTGAATAAACTACATTGCTACTGCACTTGCACATACATAAATTTAACGCACTATTACTATATAAAGAAGGCTCACATTTCTAATACCACTATAACATTTCCATTGATATATCAATATGCTTGTTCATAAATTAGTATCTATATGACATGGAGTTAGTGAAAAATACTTAAAAGGAAGTTTGAAAGATATATATAAATGGTTTTATTCTGTACTTAAGTTTAATTATTGTGGGATACATTTTTTTTTTAAATATCAAAATTTGGACTAAAAAGCAAAAGGACAAAAACTGAATTTGAGAAAACTGCCATCTCTTCTGTTATAGCCTACATTTTACAATTTGGTTGTGAAATGTGACTGCCAGTTTGTATCGGTTTCCAAGGAAGTCGAGGTTGATGTAAAATGTTTATAAAATATATACTGTAATATTCAATATTCAATCTATTAATATTTGAGTCATCAATGGAATTAAAAAATGACCGTACAAAATGATTCTTCAAACTGGATATTTGTTCTAAATCTTGCAAGATGAATGTCAACTCAATCACAGCTCACCTTGTTATCAGTTTGACAAGTTATGTAATATTTGTTCCTTCCTAAAACAGTCACTGCTTGGTATTTGAATCTTGAAATCTGTGCATCCTGATTATTCCCTTGATCTGTTGAAGACTTGAGTAGAACTGTGTTCTACAGATATCAAATAACAGATCTAAATGTGCAAAGACCCAGTTTCATTCACTCCATTTCACCCCCTTTCCTTTTTTCCTCTTTTGTGACTGCCCCACTCTGTTCTTCCATAATCTAGCCATTTGTGTTCCCCATAACAGATCTGCTTCTCTCCTCTTTATACAAATCTCCTCTCCTTTCACCTCTCCGCTCCATTATCTGTTTGAAATCCATCACCCATATTAATATTTATTCTTTATCCCCACCAAGTCTTCCACGACGAAGAGAATTAGCCAAATGTTCCTTGCTATAAGATTAAGACTACCTGTACACTGGAACATATTGTAACCAGCCTGTTGATTAACAGAATTACACATTTGATGTGAATGATTTTTATTCTGCATTGAAAATAAAATCCTGCATCCACCCCCACCTATATTTTCTTTACATTGTAATATCTCATGAACATAACCCTTTTGCCCCTGCATTTTAAATAAATTTTGTTTGTCCATAATGTTCTGTTGGTTTTACTCACAGCTGAACAGCATTATACGTTACCACTGTGATTTTTCCCCCAAATAAAAAAAAGCAATAAAGCTAATTGCATTCACTAAAAGTAGCTTGTCAGCTAATAAACCACTCAGGAAAGGTTAACATATGGCCACAGTGCTGTATTTGTTAAACTAAAGGAAAAAGCTGCTTATGTGATCAAGCGAGACGTTGTCTGCAAGCTTTCTGAATTTGCCCAGAATCTTTTTTTTTTTTACAGATCAAAATAAGTTTGTAGGTTTTCGTCCATGACTAGTTAAAAGGTTATACATATAAAACATAATTTCCTTATGGTTTAACCCTTGAATAGGACATTAATTGACCCCCCTTTGGTATTCATATTTAATGTTAAAAAGCTAAAACACAATAACTATTGTCTTCATGACAAATAAAGTGATTGTTATTATTCCAGTATAGTGATGGTTAAAAGCTATTGCACAGGAAATAAATTAAATTACATCATAGAATTTCAGGACAAGATTGAGATCCTTAACTCAATCTTTACTTAATTTGTCACCACTTCTCCATTCCTATCATAGAGCCGTATTTCTACTTTCCCCATATTTTATCGTATTTCTTTATTTAGTTTATACTGTTATTACGGCTACTCATTTGCATCATTTGTGAACAAAATTCATAAACAACTGTCACACCTAAATTCACATAAAAATAAAAAAATAAAAATGCAAGTCAAAATCCTTTAAGGGATAAATGAACCAGAGGGGGTGTTGTGATCTGAAAATTTAAAAAATGTAGGGTAAACTGCAATTGTTGCAAAAAAACTAACAAAAAAAACCTCTCGTAATACATTATTTTTGCAACTCAGCAATTCAAATTTTATACCTCAAGTCACTACTATTGCCAGAAACCCATTTGTTTTCAAAAGTACTAACTTACCTTGCTGTATAGCGAGAACAGAGATGAGCAGTAAGGTGTACACAAGCAGCATGATAACAGTCGCAATGGCGTCCTTTCAGACTGGCTAAGAAGAAGATGGTCCTCGTTAACCCAAGATTATCGTCTTTCTTTAATCTCCTGGTGAAGGGGCTAGAACACATTGCTATAAACAACTCATTTCAATTAAAAGCTCCTTCCATTCACTTTATCCTTCGGAAAGAATCCCAGCTCTAAGCCTGTTATTCCAACTTTATCCTGAAAGACTGAATTCTATAGCTTGTTAACCTTGTGGATACGCTTTCACATTTCTACATTTTGGTAAAACATGGTATGAACATTATTAAAATATACAGACACACACACACATGTAGACACAAACACATCAAGCACACATTTTCTGCTATAGTGATCAATAATAAACAAAATAACTAGAAAAAAAACAGATGTAGTGGTGTACATGGTGTATACTTGGGAGATCGAGGAAATGCTGGGTTTCTGTGTTAAGATGCTGTTTTTAAGGCTGCTACCATGGATTGCACAATAGTAAAACACAATATAAGGATAAATCAGAGGTACAGTGATTTTTTTATAAAACAAAGTGTGACAAACTACCCTTTTCAAGTGAGTTTGCCACGAGTTCTTGGAGGGGCCTGTTTGCCAGCCTCCTACCTTGTGACTATGGCCCCTGTGTTAAACCCTGATTAAAACCACTGTTTGTGCCTTTTTGGACTTGTGTGGCCACACTTCGAACTAACGAAACGGCACTTAGAATTACCGAACAACCACACGAACCAAAGACCACCATGGAGCTTGTTAACACCTATTAACAACTTGGAACGTTTCTCACCGCAGTATTCTAATTGTTCGTCTGGGTGGCAACAATTCCTATGGACAACCACGAGGTGGCGCCATCTTGTTTGCATGAAAGCAGGCAGCGGTGTTTGGGCATGAATCTCATGGTTGAAAATCAGATACAGAAACTCCCGAACACCGCTGGACGTCCATCATCGCCTGTGTTCGTTTCTATACAACTTAGAAGGGCACTGTTCAGTGAGAACATTCGTCTGGATGAGGAGAACAAGCTCCAGGGTAAGGCTATTGACTCTGTTAGGTAGTTTGTTCGTTTTCAAACTACCGAACTAGACTGACCACAAGCCCGGATTCTCTGGAACTGTTTTGGGCATAGGACCATGCCTGCGGTCTGTCAAATAAATAGAATTCCTGAACTGATCTTGGTGATTTTTTGATATTTTGGTCACCCAGATCAGGGCTATCCGGGGATTTAACATTTGTGGGGATATTATGTGCTTTTGTGGTACTTTTGTGTTTTTATAGAAATATTTTTTCTGCCTGGAGATAATTGGGTTAAATAAAGTAACTGACTCCATTATCTCGAAGGAGAAGGGAGGAATTGTGTGCTGTGTGTGGGAGTGTTGTGCCTTGTAACCTTGTTGTCATTGTTCTGTGATTTTGTGCTGCAGTCCCCCACAAGGTCCAGGAGGGGAGTGCCCCTTGCATGGGGACATACATATAAGGCCAGTTGTGGCTGCCATAAAAGTGTTCCAGCTCCAAAACTGTGTTGTCCTGTTATTGGAGGTAAGTAAGATTTAACCCCTGTGTCTGCAGTTCCAGCTTACAGGGGATTCAACTGGGAAAGTCCTTGTAAGGACTAGAGCTCCCAGAACTGAGTGTCGTCCAGTGCCTGGGGGTTTCTAGAGCCAAGTCCCCATTTGGCTCCAGGAAGGAGCGGTTGACTGTGGGCGGAAGTGCTGCGGTTTGTCCCCTGTTCCAGCTAGGAAGCGGTCCTTGGCGGAGGTACCCAGCCAGGGGTAAAGGGAGCTCCGTTACACAAAGTGTACAGTTACAGGAAATTTTAAGGATTAGACACTCAACTTAGGTAGCCGTGACGCTTAAATACTAAGTATGTGGCAAACACATTGTAACCCATAATGCAGCATTTGTAGACGGCTTTGTTTATGAAAGAACCAAGGTAATGTGTCTCAAATATTTAATTAATTTGACTGGTAGTGAATAAATCCCATAGTATGGTGCAGGGAAATCAGCTGGTCCAACTAGAGCATCTTAATTTCATGGCAGACAAAGTGTAATGGGAAAATGCTTGTCAACCTTGGACCATTCATGAAAAATGTCTCACACTGTGCGGTGAAGAAAGATCAGTGTCATTTTGGTTATAGTAAAAAAAATTCAAATTGACTAGGACACTCAGTTACCTATCCCCCCCTCCACCCACCCACCCACCTCTCGCCTGTCCTCTGAGAAAATTTCCTTTTTAAATGTATTTAATTCTTGTTTTCTAAAAATAAATCTTTCTAAAATTGGACTCATCTAATTACCCCTTCAATATTCCACCTCCATCTATCTCCCTACAGATCACTGGAACACCTGTTATCACAACTCTTTAAGCTCGCTGCCTGGAGAGTTACTTTTGACTTGCGTCTCTTCTCCCCACAGCCAGTCTGTCTCCATTTTTCCACTGGCGTTTCCTTACCCCATTCTCATGGATTGTAAGCTTGTTTAAGAAGGTTCTTCTTTATCTCTCGTCTCGGTCAATAGTAATTTTGTATGTACATTACTCATCCCATTTCCTGTAACTGGTCCACGGTGTGGCTCAGTCTCTAACCCATTTGTAAACAAATAACATGATTTGCCCAACTCTAGATCAGATGCTGTGGGCTTAGAGTTGTGAATAGTGTATACACATCTAGAAACAAATGCAGACATAAAATCTTGCACAAACATGGCTGTTTGGGGAAAAAAAACTGTTGTGGAACAGGTAACCCCAAAACAGACAGTAACATGCACGAAAGAAATGAGTTCTCCAAGATTCTCATAAGATAAGATTTATTTACAGCACACTTCTCATGCGTTTATATATCTCTCTCCAGCTATGGATCAGCTGACACTGTTTCAGTAACAAGCCCAGGATGGAATGTCCCACCTAAGAATCAAAAGGCTTTAGACACAAAAGGGTCTTCCTCAGACGTGAGACACAATGAGCTCTACGCTCTTTTTGACACGATGCAGCATGGGAAAACATCCATATAAAATACAACAAGACACGTGGAGATGCAGGGCCAGGTTTCGGCCTCCCTGATACAGGAAGGACATGCGGAGGGAAGCCTGTGTTACACGCTTCCTGAGCCTCCCCGTGCCGCAGGTGCCTCCTCTCCACAATTCAACCGGGGGACAGGTACAAAGAATACATGAAATCCCATTTTCCTACATCATCCAGATTGCACACCGCTCGAAAACCAAGCATCCCAAGAAAGGCAGAGGAAGGCTAACTCTTCCCCATCTTCATAATAAGCTCATCACAAATCTTAGTGAGTTCTTCAATCTCTTTATTCTGTAAAAAAGAGAAAAAAAATAGAGAGAGACTGTTAGAAACCTGCCTACAACACCATACTTAATGGAATAATAAAAAAAAAAATTGTTTTTGTTACATAACCTTTTGTTCAAGTGTCCTCTCCAAAGCATCCACTTTGAGCTGTTCCTTCCTCAAGCTGGCCTGATATGCAGCATGTTCTTGCTGAGACTTAATGCGCACTTGGGCAATATCGGCATTGGCCCTAGGAAAACACAGAGCAAACTGTAAGGCTATCTTTTAATACTAAATTCTAAATACATTTAGGGTGCAGTGATGGCATGCATCCTGGCTATAGCTATAGCATGCCTCCTGTATTTACCTGTCTAGCTTCTCCTCCGCGTGAATTTTCAAAGCATGGTACCTCTGTTCCTCTTTTTTAACCCGCGACAGATATTCCTGAGCGCACTTCTTCAGAACCTCCTCATTCTGTACGAAGTAAGAGTTGAAGGCGATCAATCAGATTGTGAATATAAACCTTTCACATTGTGATATATTCTACATCCTTCATTTAAACAGAATGGTAATGGAGAGCTACAGGAAACAGGCCAATAGCACGGTCATCTTCTATAATTATATGTACCAGTGAGAATTCTTATCTTTATTTAGTTGCACGCTACACATACCATAACTTGATTTAACTGGACAACAAAGAAGTAAAAATAGTCTGCTGGGTGGTGAGCAATGTGGAAAGAGTACATGTTGCCATGGCTTTTTATTTCAAGAATGGAAAAACGTTATTGAAGAGAAGATGGGGAAAAAAAGAACATCTGCGTTATAAACAGGCCTGTTGGCTGTTTATAAATAGGAAATATGCAGGAAGTGGTTTCAAGAAAATGAAATATATATATTTTTTTTTTAAATGAAAGAGCAAGAAAAAGAAAACACTGGTGAAATTTAGAGGTAAAAAAATACACAGGAAAATAAACCCCCAAATCAGGAAATGAAACAAAATGAACAGTGATACAAGAAAGAAATTGTTTGTGTGATATTAGGGCGCTTTATATGTAAACAAAATAAAGTATATATATATTAGCAGCTAAAGCACTCTTTGCCCAGACAAACAATAGTGAAAAAAGGAACACTCTGTGTGTGAAAACCAGGTTTAGGTGATATTACCCTTGACATACACAGAGTATAGAGCAGCGCTAATCAGGCTTACCCATTGTACAGTGCTACGGAATTTGTTGGCGCTATATAAATAATAAAATAATAATAATAATAATAATACAGCATGGGCCGTTTTTCATATGAACAGTGAGCCTGGGTAAGGTGTGTGGGGGCCTCGAAATATTGTTACATCTGCCTGTAATTCTACAGAATATACACAATTGGTTTAGAGACTTGTTGAATTAAGGCAGAGGTGGAGGGTGGATTAGGGTAGATTTTAATTGCCCAAGAAAGACAGGTAGATAGTTTGGTGGGGGGGGGGAGGAATTTTTTTTGGAGGGGGAGGGGAAGTTGGGGTTCCTATCAATTCTGTTTTCTTTCAATATCGTGAGATGTAAATCCTGGGTGTTCATAGGTGTTCCTCTATGCATCAACTGCGACAGCCACCCTCGCATGAGCAGAAATGGATATATTTAAATATAATTCCTTTAAGAAATGTCAGTGTGTGAATCTTGTCATGCTGTCATAGTGGATAAATGATTTCTTAACAAGGAACGAGTTCTAGTTGTAAAAGTAACAGTTTGACGAGTAGGGTATTGACGTTCCATGTGTTCAATGTTCTATGTGCATTGAACGAAATGAAGATACTATGGCCAGATACGATACTGTCAGCAGAATCGATAAGAACATTTTTGATAGCACTTACTTTTCTGAATCCCTCCAAAACATCCTTCATTTTCTCATATCTACGGAAGAGATCCGCCAGCGACTTTTCAACAGA